TTCTTGATAACTATGAACTTGTTATAAATGCTTCATTTCAGTATGCTTAAAGCTTAATTTTTTAAAACCTCTTTCAGCTGATTGTTGAGTAATTTTTCGGATGCGTTTGTCATACTTCTTTGTCATGTTTCCCTTTATTTGCAGATCGATAGAATTATAGGAAGGAACAACACTATTGGGACTTTGAATATGTTAAAGCAGAGCAAGCAAGAACCTTGCAAAAGGAGGGAACAATTGAAGGTTGAGGCTGATGGAATGAAAATTGAAATTAATGAAATCAAAAAACTGCTCGCAGAAAAGGTTAGCGATTACCTTATGTCGTGAAATTACTACTCATCTGCTTCTTAAATCATGAAATTTGTAATGATTTAATAGAAATATGTCGATATCGCGCAGTATTATCGGTCACGTTGTTAATAGCAAAGGTGTTAGGAACCTAGAAATGACAAAATGAAAATTTAAAGTTCAGAATAAAGAAGTTTGGTCTAGAATTTCTAACTAGTTTAGCATTTCTTGTGAATTTATAACATAGTGTGATCATTGTTTTTATGAAAGGGAAGATATTATATTCAAAAAATGGGTCCATTTATTGAAAAATAATAGACCGTATATATATATCTTCTTGAGGATTTAGTTCACTCAATAATGAAATTTGATTTATTTATATATAATCATGAAATGAAAATTTTACAGAATGCATTGTTGTCCGATATAGAAAATGATTTGGTCTACAAGGATGAAAGCAGATTGACAGCACGTTTGGAAGAATTGGAGATTGCATACTCTCAAACGAAGTTCACTTCTAGTCGTACTGAAAAAGCACTGGTTAAGGAAATCGATAAACTGAAACGGAATCGAGCCAAATTAGCGCAAGTTTTCTAGTCACCTATATTGATTTTTTTTTTTATTTAATTAACTTTAAACAATGAACATTGCTGAACATTGATTTTAATTCTCGAGAAACTATGTATTAGATTTCTAATAGTTGTAAAAAAAAATACGCCCAGGTAGCTCTACTAGACCACTTAATGGTTAAAAGCATTTAAATCATCCTCAATTTTGCATTAAGAGATTTGGAAAAAATATAGACATAAACTGAGACTTATATAAAATTAACATCTTCCCAAAGTTGTGGCTAGCAGATCAATCCAGGAAAACTTGGAAAAAAAAAGCTTTTGCGGAAAAAGGGCTGAAGATTTTGGCGCAATAAACAGGAAGAAAAACGAAGGAAAATTGACGCAATGAAGATGAAAAAAAAGCATTTTAGGGATTTACTAGTGATATTAAAATCGCATTTCCAAGCACAGGAATGATCTGAATGGTCTAAGTAGTTTATCCAGTCGACATATAAGCTAATTTTAGTCAGCTAATTTTATCGGTTTAGGTTGTAGTTTTCTTATGAATTCAGAGCATTAATTTCATTCAAAATACTTATAAAACATTTTTTTTTAAATATATATTATGGATTCAGTGCGATCATTTATTGTTTGTACAACAAATCTCATTTTTTTAGAAAATATAATATTATCATGGAAGAGAAAAGAGTTATACAACTCCAGTTGTGTGGAATCAATGAAAGGCGTAGTGTATGTTGCTACACATTCCATCTCTTTATCGGAACTTTCACTAATTCTTAATCTTGTGAAGTTTACTTCTCAGCCCTTCTGGCGATTTTTTCCTTTCGATGAAAACAAGTGAAGCGGTGGATAGTTACAACAGGAAGAGGAAGGTGTACATAGATTAGTTTATTGCTTAATGTTGTGGATTCTTAGTAAATTTTGGTTAGGTATTGTTTTTAACAGACTATAGGTGTTAGTTCAGGAAAAACTTCCCTTTCACTTTGGTTTTTTTTTGATTAGTTTTAGTTCCTTATTTTGATCCTTAATTTTATTATTTATTTTATAGTTTCAAAAAATTTTGTATAGTAATAAGATTTATCTTATGTGCATTATTTCATTATTTTCAAGCAGTCTGCACTCATATTTATCAAGTATCTTCATAAAATAGTAAAGCAGTAATGAGAAGGAAACATTTTAGAATGTGCTGAAGTCAATCCGTGAAATAACAAATCAGCTTGAGACAACTGATCGATATATTAGACAGCAAAGGCGGAATTTCTTACATCTTAAAGACTGTTTATGCGATTTGCATGCTAAAAAAAAGAAACTGGTGGATAGTTACAACAAGAAGCGGGCGGAATACATCGACTGGTCAAATAAAAATAAAAAAGATATACAATGTTCTTCCATAATTTGTTCGAACTATCCATATCCAGCGACATACCCAACGACTCATCGCCAACAGTCTTGTGAGTTTTTTCTCTATTGTTTGAGTTGATTTTGTTTCGTTTCTGCTGTTCAGACTACAATCATGACTTTAAGTGATTCGATTTCTTCAGAGACCAAAATTAACTCACAGATCAAATTAATTTAGTGTGTAATAGTTTTTTAATTATTTTCAGAAGATATTTGTACCCTCAATTATTCAATTTAGATGCTGACTTTGTTGATGAAGACACATTGGAACCGTTTTATGAACAGAAGATGGCATGTAAAAGATTAATTGAATACTTAACTTCACTACAGTCACGGATGCCCGTGGAATGTTTTTCATCAGCTTGTGATACAGTTGATAAAACAAGTAGACAAATGATTGCTGACGGCAGTGAAGGTTATTGTATTACAGTTACATTCTTCATTTTATTAAATTTCGTCTGATATGTTTCAGTGTTTCGTTTTTTCATCTTATTTTATTTCCAATACAGACTTATTCCTAAAAAAGGATGAAACTTTGTTCAGTTGAAATATAATTTTATCGATCAAATTGTATTAGTCTATATGAAAACATTTTTTCAGATTCAGCTGAGGAATATCCGTCATCTTTTTCTGCTCTGAAAATACATCCTTCATTACCGGTTGAGCAGGAATTTGGAAAAGAAACATCTCTTACTAACGTTTTGAAGAAAAAAAATTGCAAGAAGTCTTCGAAGAAGCCATGTCAGGTATTTCCCGAGTTTCGTTTATTATTATTGTGATGGTCGTGAAGTCGTAACTTCTATTTATTGAATTCATTTTACGAATGTATCGCTTAGTAAGAACCGTTACTGAGAAATATAGCTAATAAATGTTGTTGCAATCGATCAAAAATCAATCAATATCTTCATTATTAATGCATCATTATAACGCGAATCAGCTTTTTTTATTTTCTCAGTTTAGCTTAATTTCACTTCTTTTTGCAGAAAATAAGTCATCCAATGCAAATGTTATGCTTCTTTAAAGAAACTGAGATACCAATACCTCAAACCTATCGCGAAATCGAGCACACATTGAATATGGTGCGTGCATTGTTGAAGCAGTATCAAGAACAGACAAAGTAAGGAGATTCCATTCTTCATGTTTCTGCGTTTGATTTCATTTGAATTCTACTCTTTTTGCATGCATAATCTCGGGAATGCACTTATTTTCTTTATTTATAAGCACCTATACCATGTTGTAGTGTATTTTTTATATTAAATTTGTTTTCGATGGAATTCTGGATTCATAATATCATGGAAACACTAAGTTACAATCTAACTCGGAAAAAAGTTTTTAGACAAAGGTTGGTGTATTCTATTAAGACTTACATCTCAATATCTCATAGTTATCTGCCTATTTTGATAAAATTTGTTTACAGCGTTATTGTTTGGGAAGAAAGTGATTACCGACAGTTACCTTCACTCAGTGAAAGTGAACATACGGCAGATTCAACTTGGAATGGTTCAACAGATACATCTGATCGAGGAAGCATCTTCAATTTTCATACTTGCTCCTCCTTCGACCTCATAACGCCGGTAGAGGAGAGATCTGAATCTTTTGCAAAAGATATTTGCAGCCCAAAACCGGAATTTTCATCTCCATTGTCATTATCTGATGAAGGTTTCGCAAGTAAAAATTCTACACACTAGAACATCCTTGTTATTAATTTACGGGAGTATCCTGGTGCTAAATTCAAACATAAGACATTTTTATGTAGAAACCGTATATTTTCTTTTCTTTTTTTAAAAGAGTTGTTTGTAATTGTAATTATGCAGGTGCTTGAATTTTTCTGATGTCAGCAACAGAAGTTCAGTAACCTGAATCGTTTAGTAACTGAACGTATACAATACTGTTGTTGTAAATATTCGTCATCCATACTCTTCATAATCATTTCTTTTTTCTGGTAATAATTTTACTCATACTGTATTTGTCTGGGATTGATATGGGTTAGAATTATTGGGTTGTTAAGCATTTCTTTTTATTTATAAATTCTTTCATTGTTTACATTTGTACAGAATTTTATGGAGCAACATTGCAACTGTTTCGGAAATTTCAAAAGAGAATTCCTTTTTCTCAACAAAACGTACAGGAAGCATGTTGACCATTTGTCGAGTGTTGATTTGCATTTATCTAATTGTCTTCAAAAGTTTTTGAGGTGTATGTTATATGTATAAATATTATGTCTACGTATTCAATTTCTGATTTCTTATACTATGTTTTATAAATTATGTTTCAACTAATTTATAAATTTTCAATTAATTTATAAATTATATTTTACAAGTCTAAAAAAATGGTAGAAAAAAGTATGAGCCCGTTAAAATCGTCTCAAAATCCAGTTTTAATTTTGAAAATGTTGAAATTAGTAACTGTTTTCCTAATAGTTCATTGTGATTAATAGAAGTGATATTCATGATCGATAGACATGCATTTTATGTGTTTTAATTATAATTTCGTAGATATGTTTATATTGTTGATTCTCGAATAGAATTTTAATTTGAAGACTTCTGTTGCAGAAATAATAAGATTTGAAACGTTCTGTATTTTTACAAATTACAAGTTCAGAACTTCAAAAGATAGATCAAGCGAAGTAGACAGATTGCATAGTATTCACATGGAGGAACAACGTCAGGAAAAACTTATGGTATTATCCTTTATCTCTTTGTGATATCTATTATAACAGCAAATTCATGGCAAAAAAGCGCAATATCAAATGACAACACAAATATTCGTTTCTTGAAGATTAGCATTAGCTGGTTGAAATGCAGAAGGCTTCTGTCCCACTTTTCGCTTTTTTCTCATGATGGTTATCTAGAATAGCTTATCGTATAAATTTCTAATGAACAAGTTAAGCTCCTCTCTAAACATACAGTCAATATATCGCTTTTTTTTTAACGAATACATTTTTTAAGCCTACCTTACAAGGAGTATGTTTTTTAAATGAAGTCTCCTCGGTTTCGTGCAATTCGTAATATCCATCAGTGGACTGTCCTGGTTCTGGAATTATGATTGCAGTTAATGAAGATAGAACTATAAAAAGAAAATTGTGTGTTTTTAGTTAATTGCATGCAAAGATTGATAAAACAAACGTCTAAGATGGGCGCAAATGTCCCAAACAGTTTTTCGACCATTTTTTTCCAGAAAATAAGTGTGCACACGGCCAAAATCTGCCTCAATAATTCCTCCCTCAACGAATTCAAGGAATTTATTCGTTTGTAGTGCCGAACTGGAAATATATCACAGTTTACATGGATAGAGCCCGGTTAAACCAAACAAAACATTGGATAAGAAATAACAACTAATGAAATTATATTGAATTCTAAGGATAGCGTACTTCTTGGCCGTTTCACTGACACGAATTCTTCTTGGTACGCCATACGATTCCAGTTTACGAGCTATTGAAACTGTCTTCCCAAATAAGCAATAACTGAAAATGTAAAGCAATCATGCTATTTTTTTATCTTCTGCCCTATTAAGTAGATCAGAGAGATTATCACGACTTAGTAAAATTACTACTAACCGAGGCATTTTGAAACCAACTATTCCAGCAAAAATTGATCCGGTGTGAACACCTATACGAATCTCAAGTGATATATCAGTTCCTGGACGCTTCACTGATTTCACCTCCATTTGCATACCAATGGCCATATTTAAGATACGTTCTGAATGATCGATGCATTGAGTGGGAACACCACTAGCAACCACGTAAGCATCACCAATAGTTTCAACCTTATAAACGTCGTTCTAAACGATTAAATTAAATAATTGAATCGAATCATATAAATTCAATAAAAAGCAAATGCGAAAAATTTCGACATTTCACGCATTAAAAAAATATTGACTGAAAAGCTAAGAGTCTTAACAGTGTGACAGACTGAATAGTTCTAAAGTTATAAAGGTTAACATTATAGTTTAAAGCTGAATAGTTTAAAGTTATAGTTTTAAATTTATAGTCGTAAGATTCGAATTGGAAAATTGCAAAATTTAAAATTGTTTTGACATCTAATATTTAAGTTAACAAAAGATCAAACTAAAGAAAGTAATCCACAATTAAAGATTTAAAAATGAAAAATAAAAAATACTTACAATTTTTGCAATACGATCAAATTTGGTATATAACTCGTTTAACATATTAAAAACATCATAAGGTGCGCATGCAGCGCAAATGTTTGTGAATTTTACTACATCGGAAAAGAGAAGTGTTACATCTGTACATTCATCTGAAAATTTCTATTGATCAATTAGTCTAATCATTGAATAATGCATTCTCTTTCCGCTCATTTGTCCTTTTACCTGTTTATAACTTCAAATTTTAGCATAAAACATCAATATAATATTTATTTTACTTTTATGTTAGTTTTGCACTTATCAGAAGTAAACTGAAGATGAAAATGATTGTTAAATATGAAATTAAATATGAATAAATTAATTTTTACGCGCTTGAACTGTTTCACCCATACGAAGAATTTCAACAGCAAATGGTGGTAATAATTCATAAAGGAGTTTTTCCGATTGATATTTCTCAGTAGCCACTTTCTCGATTAGTTTTGTCAGATTATTTTTTTTTTCTTCCAACTTTTCACTTCAAAATATTTATTACTGAATAAACAGATAGATTCTTGATGGAATTTTTTTCATATATATTAATATTTAGATATTAATAATATGTTTTAATCAAATAGCTATTGCAATGCGATCATTTCAATTTTTATTTCAATTTTAAACTTTGAACTTTAGATAGCCCCTCATAATTGATATCTTTCATTTTATAATTTCACCAATTAATTTTTCAGATTTTTCAAAATTTTTTAATATTATATCAACCATTTACAGTGATGATGTAATAATATGTATCATACTGAATAGTAAATCTAAACTGCTAATGAATAAATAATCATTGTAACGATTAAAAGTTACAATATCTGAATGTTCATATAATTATTTGATTTGAAATTGAAGTTAATGTAATTGTTAATGTTTGTAAATAAAATAGCATTTATCACAAGTAAAAAATGTTAAATTCATCTATCATTCATTGCAGTCAGTAATTCTGAAAATCAAAAATTGACAAACGTATATTTAATTTGATAAAGTCTTAATTCATTGATCATGATAATATTTCGAGTTGCATCGTGTAATTGCATATCACTAAGATATAACTGTCGTTGTTTAAGATGGATAATTTCGGATACATCCAACGAACACATATAAATAAAATGTCCATTTGATAATAACGTCATCGAACCTTAGTGTATAGTTTATTTTGCTTAACACATAATTTATCACTGATCAGATTTTATCATTCTAATAATTTTGCTTTTTTTAACATTTAATTCTTTAAATTAATGTATTTGTCACTCAATATATCATTTTCAAAATATTACAACCTTTTAAAACGATTGGATACGAGTGAATTTGGTGGTCCGTGATATCATTTAGTATTAATACAAATATACTATTCAAAAAAGTCAGTAAAGATTGATAAATAAGTGGTACCTGAAAGACTCAATTATTGTAATCATATATGTCTTCTAATATGTTGGAAATAATTTTATTTCTTTAAGAATCAAAGTACTTAACGTGTATTGTTTTTCTTTTTTTTTTTTTTTTGAATTTACTTACATTAGGATAAATAAGTTGTGCAATATCAGTTAGCAAAGTTACACCAGATCTCACTGACGGTACATACTTTTTGATAAAAATACCTGGAAATAAAATATAAAATTATAATAAAAAGTTATTTCGAATTTTCTACATATCATTTATATTTTATTTATGAATTTTTATTTATGAAGTTTTCCTCCGGTGACTCTGGTTACTGATAAGCATTTCACTTAGTTAACAACCGTTATCAATAAAAGATATAATACAGAAACGAAAAAATTTACCGCAGTGCAATATTTGGAATTTTCTATTAAAACAAATGTGATATGGAAAAATAATCGCAAATTCGGTTAGAGATAGGCCACATTGTCCCTTAACGTCTTTTTTTTTAAAGTTAGATTATTAATTGAGTGAACACACGTGAAAGTTACGTCTCCATGACAACGCAATTTCAGAAGATGAGTGAATGTCGCATAAAAAGAACACTTCATAGAAAATATTATAAGTAATTTAATTTTCTTAGTATTAAAATTTAATCATACAAGAAGTGCAATGGAATTTTAATTTCCTAGAAAATATTAAATCAAAATTAGTAAGTTTGCTAATCATTATAAAAAAAAATAATAAATAAATAAATAATAGTGAAAAAAAAGGCTATTTTATTAGAATTGTTATAAAATTTACATTTGACTTCGTATTTTGTAAAGAATTGGTCAACGAAGGATTCACGCAATTCAAACTGTTCTTATTTTTATCTTTCTGAAATTGCATCTATTTCAGTTGCCTTAGCCCAATACTCTTTCATATGCAATTTGTTTAAAACTCAATTTGAATTTTTCTAAGGTTATTTTAAGAAGAAAAAGTGAAACCCTAGTAATTGAGAATATAATGTGTTCTTTAATGATTGAATTAAAATGCGCTCGAAGACGGCTTTCAATAGTTATTTCAATTTCAATTCCGAATATTCTCCTTGATATTTCACGAACAATACCTAAAATTACAGATGAGCTTTACGTTTAAAATCTCTTCACTAAAATCACATAGAAATTATAGAACTTTTTTTTGATTCCGCAATTATTTTTAAATTTATAAGGTTTTAAAAATTAATAATTCACTGTTTAGTTAATTATTTATTATCATAGCACTAGTGAATAAGATGTAACATAACATTTTGAATTCAGTGACTACTAACTTTATTTTTTTTGGTGCCCCTTTTTTGCAAACTATCTAAGCGCAAAAGGAATGAAAAGTCGAAAGGGTATTTTCGGTATTATAGAAAATACAGGAAAATATTTTGTTTTAAATAAGTAAAAACTATCAATGCTCACTGGTGAGAACAAGTTAAAATTATAAACAGTCGATTGAATAATTTTGGTGACACCTTTGACGATTCCCGGAAATCCTATACGTGACGAATAATAATGCAGTAGGAGGCTATCATCATTGTTCAATTCACAGCGAAACAATGGACCGCGTAATTTCATCGAGAAAGCCATTCGATCAGCAAAATAATATATTCTGTCTAGGCTATTCAAAAAACCCTTTAAACAAATAAATTAGCAAAATTAATTGAACAATCTAAGAATTTAGAATTGAAAATTTCTCAAAATGTAAATCGAATTTTTTGGACTGTTTTCTAAAAATTAGTCCATGAAACATTCTGAATTTTTATAACTTATTTTAACTCAAAATTTACAAATCTATCATTTATTTTATTTTATTGTTTTTTTTTTAAATATACATATCTAAAAACCTTACAATTAAAATAAATTAAATTTTCAAAAAAAAAAATACTTTAAGATCGTAAGCAAGCACTTGTAAAATTTCATCCCATCCAGTTTTTATAATAAAGTGTATGAAATATGTGCCAAAAGCTTCCCATACTTCATCCAACGAAAGATCTAAATTATTTAAAAAAAAAAAAAAGTGCTACATGAATATTTCTTTTTTAACGATGATTTAAATTTATTCATTATTTAAATGATTTTTTTTATCAACAAGGAAAAGAAGTAAAATAGTGTAATTCAAAGGCTTTCTTACAGAACAAAATTAAAACTCATACTTTTAAAAACAGAAGTAAGTTATTACCTAATCATATAATTTCGAATTATACTTAATCGAAAAAAAAAACTTTCTTTTTGTTTACTCTTACTCAAAAGTACCAAAAAAAAAAAAAAAAAAATTGAAAATACAAACTTAAAACACGCGAAACAGCACGAGCCATTCCCATTGTTATTTCATCGTCGTAATAGCATGACAACATGCATTCTTCGCCTTCTTTCAGATGGCAATAATTTCTGTAATTAATCAAGAAAAGAATAGAAGTGTACAATGGAGGATGAAAAAGAAAATGTTATTTATTAGTGGAAGCAATTTGACCTTTGACACTTATCAAATTTCTTTCTTTAACCTTATTTTGTTACCAATAACTTTCAATTCAAAATTACGTTGAATTTATAAGGAATGTTTTATTTCTCAAAGTATTATTAAAAAAATTACATTTGCAAAGAAATAATTCACATATCTGCCTTTCATAAAAGTTAAAAAGAAAGAACAAGAAAAAGATTTAAATTGAAATACAAAGAATGTATTTGAAATTTTTTGAATTATTTTCTTCAGTGAAATTCAGTTTCAATCTTAAAAATTGAAAATAAATTAGAAATTATTTTTAAATATTGTGAAAAGATAATTGCAAAAGGAGATAAAAGTAATGTTTCACGGTTGCTGCTGGTAATAATTGAAAATTGTTCACTTTGTCATTAATTATTTAAAAATTAATTACTTATGAATTTCAGCACCAGAATTGTCTCAAAATTTCTGTAAGAAAAATAATGACAAATCTTAGGTATAGTGAGTGATTATTTATTTTTATTATTGCCAAGAAATTTTCTAGCAAATAATTATTAACACGCAATTCAATAAATTTTTCCTTCACGCAAATTTAAACAACATTTAAATGCAGTTTAAGCTAACTAATCTTCAAAATAAGTAAGCCAACCAGACCCATTCGGACTATTTCTAAATATTCCCTCTGTCTACCTCCAACTAATTTGTTGCTTTTGAATTCATTTTTGAGAAAAAAAAAAATGTTTCAACTTGAAGATTATTGAGTGACTTAAAATTTGAGGCATATTGATGGCTTAGAAGTTGTAAGTTATGTGAATTACTTGATCTTCTGATGGGTTTATGATCTTTTGACCTATTTCATCAATTTAATACCAAAGCATTTTTTGGAAATAAAAATATCTTGGTAACTGATATTTGTACTTAAGATTAATGGAAATACAACTGGAAAATAAGAATGGGAAATATTTCGTGGACAATTCTTAAACTGACACACATCAACTCTGTCACAGCTTCGTTTTTTTAAGTTATAATTTTCAAAAGTTAATTAAAAATTTAGGTGTCCAAATAAGACTACTTATAATTTGAAAGAATTTAAAGGAAATTTTGAATCAAAATAAAACAAACTAATGAACAAAATTGGACTAAGCAACTGGGACTGAATGGAAAGATCGTTCTGTAAAGGTTGATTTTTTACGGTCATAAGTCATACCTTTATTGTCATAGCATGTAAGGTACTGTTAATAAAAATATATTAAAAGTAATGACAATGAGTTATTAAATTAAAACTTTAATATCACGTTGATTTTCACCTCTTAAATTATAGCCAACAGTTCGGCAATTATTCAAATCTCATCAGCTTCTGACAAAAGTGACAAATTAAACATTAATTAACTAATTAAAATGAAAACTTACAAGATCTTCAGCCATACCTCCCTGCCATATTGTTCAAAAATCATTTTGCGAAAACATTCATGGAACCAACCGATCTGAAATAATCATAAACATTTTCAAAAAAATAAGTGCAAATTTTTACTCCATGTTTTTAATTCATTTATTGATTACAGACTATAATAAGATCTTAAATTGAATTTGACATAAATTCTAAGGAAGAAAAAGATATGGATAAACGAAATAAAATTATAATAAAGATGGTAAATGGAGAACGAAGCTAACCATAGTTGTAGTAGTTGAAAGGAGTAAAGCGAACTAATAATAGCAATGTATTTAAGTGCCATTATAAATTTTCATTAATTATTAAAAATTATTTCCTTTACATATTTGATAAATAGGTATGCTTCTCTTCGACGATAGATCTTTGCTCATGAGTAAGAAAATATCGAATTAATTATTTATTTGATAATTATATTATTTAAACGCCATTTCTTTCCTTGTAAAGTAAATGCTGTGTACATTAAGACCTGAATTCAGAATAACAATCATTTTTAAGCAAATCCTAGTTAAACTTATTTCAGTAATAATTTTTGAATATACTTATGCATGAAAGAAATTAGAACAGTTAGATGTTTCTTTTACAAATAAAATGAAGCTTTTCCAGATTTAATTTTGCTTCATGCTACTATTAATTAAAATGTTACTATTAATTGAAATAGATTAACATCGGGACAAAATAAGCACTGTTTATATGCATATGCAAACTATTGTATATGAAATTTTGCCATTTTTCATAGTTAAATCATTTTATCACTATCTCAATTCACTTTTTCACTTATATTCTAAATTGAAATAATCGATAAGATATTTAGATTTACAGCAGAGCAAATTCTAAAAATTAAAATTAACAAGCATTTTTTTTCATTAGTTTTTTACCAGTTTTATTAGTTTATTTTATTACTTTTTTATTGAAGCAAAAAATTTTTCAACTGCAACTGAAGAAATAAAAATACTTCTAAAAGTGAAATAATTAAATTATATCATCAATAAATTAGTTACAATAATTTTTTAAATTTCTAATTTTAAGCTGACAGCAGAATTTTTCTTCAGAATTTCTTGAAGTTATAGCAATTTCATTACACTTCAAATCACACAACCATTCCGATCGTAAACAAAGTTTGCACAAAAAAGAGCTAAATGAAAAATTAAACGAATAATTACAGAATGCAAAGACAAAGAAAATTTTGGAAAAAAATTCATGCGAAGAAAGAAACAGGAGTTGGGACTTACCTAGAAGTTGATGAGAAAATTCAACTTTTCGAAGCTTGAAAAGTCTAACAACAAACTATGCTATGGAAATAATTATTATTGCTATATGTTTACTATTTGAAGGCTTCAGTTGAAATCTGTTGAAGAAATGTTTTACTCATCAAAAGAGTTTCACAAAACCTTTCGTTGGCAATATATTTCTGAAGTTTTCTTGTCAATTAAACATTTTGCATTAAAAACAGTTATGGAAGGATATAGAAGATCATATGTGAATATCTTCAAATAGTTGTTTACTTCAGTTGTTTGATTTGCTAAAAATCTTGATAAAAAAAAGCAAAAAACAGCGAAGAAATGACAAACGACATTTTATATAAATATTCAAATATTGTTCTCTTAGCTTGCCTTTAATCGCAATTTAAAACAAAACTAAAACAATCTGTGTGAATATGATTTATTTGACCTATGGTTTTAGCAAATGTAAATTATTTTTTTTTACTTTATCTAATCAACTTTATTCTGTGGCATAATACGGTAAATGATCTATCCATCAATCCGGTTGCAATGAATTTATCATCTAACAAAGCAAAGAAAGCGAAAGCAATAATTGTTGAATCATTATCAGTGCAATACAAATATCTTTCATAAATGTTTAGTCAAAACTTCATTTAAAAAAAAGAAAAACAAAAACTCCTGCACAGCATTTCTTTTTAATTTTTCAACTTTTCTTTCACAGATTTCTCCACTTCGCTTTGTTTGAACTGTCTGCTAATACTCTGAAACGTTATTAGCGTAGAAAACATATTTTTATTAGCACAGAAAAATTTTTTTATTGCATGGAATGAAGCAGGTCTGCAGATGGTTTGTAAATAGTTTGCAATCGGTTCGTAATTAATTTGTAATTTGCAAAAAATGAAATGCTGGTAAAGTGATGAAATGATGAGAAAATGACATGGTATTGGAAAATGAAACACTAATTTTTTTTAGAACCTGAGTTCTTGTTATTAATTTCAATAAGAAAAAATTTTTCAATTCATCTAAAAAACGACTTTTATAAATAAAGTAGTGAATTTTATAAAAATATGATTTTCAAATACTAATGAAGTTGTACAATAAAAAAAATCGATGTCACTTTGAAAGCTGAATCAGGAGTTGTCAGTTTGCGATCTATGGCCATGTGACTTTGGCAGTTTAATTAGAGCTGAAAGTTAGCAGTGCTTTAAAATTTTTTTCAAAGTGATGGTTAAAAGTAAAGAAAATCAAATTTTAAAAGAAAAGTTTAAATAATAACTTGATTCTTTTAAGAGTAATTATTAATAGAAGTATTAACATCAATCAATAATCAATAACAATTTATATCAACAAGTAAATAATAGTAATTAATATCAATATCTTATAACACATAATTTTTTATTGCAACATGAACATTATTTTTCTTCAAAATCAGTGATATGCATATTTCATATCATATGGCACTAAGTTCCTTATTTATAGCAGCAAGTGAATTGTTGAAGATATAATTTCAATAATTCGCTTTGAATATCAACTTGTGATATGAATTTGCGGTAGATAGATAGACAGCATATCACTTTTCCTTTTCATCAAAAGACAGAATATTATTCTATTAATAACATCATTTTGCTTTATATTACATCACCGACATGATTCATCTCTCTTGTGTTGGCAATATACTTTGATACAAATTATTCATTATTCATAATTTGCGAGTGTCTGTTGCACCAGGATTATGCAGCAAAAATGAATATTATTCAAAGCAAAGAAATTTCTTCTTTTTGCAATGCCTCTTTAGAAAAGGAAAGAATGTTACTGTTATTAAAACATTCGATCATTTTAATCTTTATTGTATATTTTTCTTAACTAATACAAAATTTTTATTAATTTTTCAAGTAGATGAAAAGGTTCGCACATAAAAAAAAAAACACCTAAAAAGTGTCACTAAAATCGGAAATGTACCTCTGTGACCGATTTATTTTGGATAAGAAAATAATAAACATAAATTCAGATTATATTAACATTTCACGGTTAAATTTCTACAGTAATCCATCCCCATCCCATCGTTGTCATTTATTTCGCAGAGATTGTATAATCTTCGATAACATTTATCAAAGTGTAACAAATTATACAAAAGAATGAGAAGAATACCACTACTAGAACAGTAAATAAATTATTTGTCAATTCTTCACTAATAAGGCTGATTATTTCTCAATCGGGTGATAATTATCTCTTTGTGACAATTAT